ACGTGGGTGTGTGGTTTGAGCCTTCTGGAGAGACTGCGGTGTGTGTTGACGGGGACTCTTACCAGCCTCTGGCCACCTTTGCTGCTGAGCCGGGCTCCGGTCTCTACACTCTTCACACTGGCCCGCGTGCGCAGCAGCCGCAGTAGCAGCAGCAGCAGCAGCCGCAGCAGCCGCCGCCGCAGCAGCCCCTACTCCCTGCCCCTGTCCCTCCCCCCTGTCTCCTCCCTGCGTCTCACCAGGTGGTTACGTCCCCTCAGGTAGTCGCGTCCAGTCCAGTCGCTGCGTCTTGCTCCTGCAGGTCGCTTGCCCACCCCACCGTTCTGTGGCACCACCGGATGGGGCACCCTTCTCTTCCCCGTCTGCGCGCTATGTCTAGTCAGCGTCTGGTCTTAGGTCTCCCGCGTGTCTTGCCGTCGCTGCCGCCGTCCCTTGCACCACCGTGCGGTCCTTGCGTCGAGGGTCGGCTGCGCGCCACCCCTCACTCCTCCTCCCTTCGTCCGGCCACTAAGCCTTTTAAGACACTCCACTTGGACGTCTGGGGCCCCTACCCTCGCTCTGGCCCTGAGCGTGAGCGTTTCTTTTTGGTGGTCGTTGACGACTACTCCTGCTACACCACAGTGTTCCCCCTGGCGAAGAAGTCTGAGGTGACTTCTACGCTGATCAGGTGGTTGCTTACCACGCAGGACACTCGTGGTCGTCGTGTCAGCTGTCTTCACTCCGACTGCGGGGGTGAGTTTCGCTCCGGCGTTCTCGCTGGATTCTGTCGCGAGCAGGGCATTCGTCAGTCCTGGACGCTTCCAGAGTCCCCACAGCAGAATGGGGTTGCTGAGCGCCGCATCGGCTTGGTCATGGAGATCGCCCGCACCTCCCTGACTCACGCCCGTGCCCCCCATTTTCTGTGGCCTTACGCGGTTCGGTACGCCGCGCACCAGCTGAACCTCTGGCCACGCGTCTCTCGGCCAGAGGCTTCGCCGACCAGTCTTTGGACCGGGTCCCCTGGTGTTGCGTCGTGGTTTTGTGTCTGGGGTTGCTTGGCTCTTGTCCGCGACACCTCTGCGGACAAGCTCTCGCCTCGCGCTGTTCCTTGTGTCTTCCTTGGTTTCCCTGAGGACTCCTCTGACTTCACCTTTTACCACCCTCCCTCTCACCGGTTCTTTGACTCCCGTGACGTCCGTTTCGAGGAGTCCACCCCCTACTACGTCAGGTACCCCAGTCGAGGTCTCCCGGTTCCTCCTCCCCCTCTCTTCCTGACTGCCGCTCCCCCTCCTGCTCCCCCGGTACAGCCTCCCCCCCTGGTCCAGCCCCGTCAGGTGTGTCCCAGGCTACCCCTCCCCCTTCGGTAGCCCCTCCGGTACAGCCTCCCTCCCCACAGTCCTCCTCGCAGCGTGCTGCAGGTGCTAGCTCTCGAGAGGTTGGTGCTGAGCCTGTTCCTGTACCGGTTTCTAGTTCTGGGGGTGCTGGAGTTGGAGCTGAGCCGGTGGGTGCAGAGGACTCTTGTCTTCCGGGAGCTGGTGCTGGTCGCGCGGACACTGGGGGTGCTCCGTCTGGGGGTGAGGGTGCGCCTCCTTCGGGTTCTGGTGAGCCTGGGTCTGGAGCTGGTGTTGGTGCTGCCTCTGGGGGTGGTGCGCCTGGTGCTTCGGAGGTGGACTCTGGGGCTGCCGCTGCCCCGGACACTACTCCGCCCCCCCACCCCTACCCGACTAGGCACCAGGCTCGTGTTCGCCGTGCCCGTGAGGAGCAGCTGGAGTTGGAGAGAGAGGAGAGGGAGTTACAGCGGCTGGAGGAGCAGCAGCAGCAGCTGGAGCCGCAGGAGCAGCAGCAGCAGCAGCAGCAGCAGCTGGAGCCGCAGGAGCAGCAGTCACAGCAGAAGCCGCAGCCGCAGCAGCAGCAGCACCAGCAGCAGCAGCAGCAGCAGCAGCAGCAGCCACCTCCTCCTCCTGTCTCGGGTCTTCGGACCCTTGGTCTCCCCTCTCGCTCTCCTTCCTCCTTCCGATCTCCTCCTGTCTACGGTCCCACGTTTCCTCCTCCTGACCCCTCCCCCACTGTTTTCCCCAGTTCTCCGCCTTTGTCGTCTCCTCCTCCGTCTCGTACTTGGGCCCACTGCTCGTCGCTCTCCTTGTGCTCGTCCCTCGTCCCCTGTTCCTTTCACTGACCTTCGTACTGCCCTATTGCGTTCTAGTCCGCCTCGTTCGGCTCCTCCTGTGCTTCCTTCTCCTCCTGAGTCGGCCCTCACAGCTTCTCTCTCTACCCCTGTCACTGACTACTACCGCACGTACCGTCCTGTTCTCTCTCGTGTTCTCGCCTCTCTTGTTATGCCTGAGTCCGCCCTTGGCTGTGACGCCCTAGAGGACAGGCAGTTTGAGCTAGAGTTCCTGGCAGCCGCTTCCCCTCATCTCTGTGCCATGCTCCTCGCCCCTGAGGGTGACCCCGACGCCCTTGACATTCCGACTCCTCGCACTTACGCTGAGGCAGTGTCAGGGCCTTGGGCCTCTCAGTGGAGAGCTGCCATGGACGCAGAGATGGCCTCCTACAGATCCACAGGCACCTACGTCGATGAGGTTCCTCCCCCTGGGACGAACGTAGTCGATGGCATGTGGATCTACAGGGTGAAGCGGCCACTGGGATCTCCTCCGGTCTTCAAGGCGCGCTACGTGGCTAGAGGTTTCAGTCAGCGTGAGGGAGTTGACTTCTTTCAAACCTTCGCGCCTACCCCGAAGATGACCACTCTTCGGGTGTTACTGCACGTAGCAGCACAGAGAGACTACGAGTTACACTCTCTCGACTTCTCCACTGCTTTCCTTCAGGGCAGCCTACACGAGGAGGTCTAGCCGCGTCGTCCCTCTGCCTTCACTGGCACTTTCCCTCTTGGGACCCAGTGGAGGCTGAGGCGACCTGTCTACAGTCTTCGCCAGGCCCCTCGTGAGTGGCACGACACTCTCCGCTCTACCCTCTCTGACCTTGGGTTCCAGCCATCTTCTACCGACCCGTCGCTTTTTGTTCGTCGTGGCTCCACACCGTTCTTTGTTCTGGTCTACGTCGACGACCTCGTTTTCGCCACTGCTGACAGGGTTGCTTTGGCAGACGTGAAGTCCGAACTGCAGAAGAGACACACGTGCACTGACCTTGGTGAGCTGCGCCATTACCTTGGGCTGCAGATCACCAGGGACAGAGCTGCTCGCACCATTACACTCTCACAGTCACACATGGTGCAGCAGGTCCTTCAGCGGTTCGGGCTTCAGCACTCCACAGTACAGCGCACACCTCTTGCTGTTGACCACAGACTCACTGGACCCTTTCCTGACGAGCCGTTTGAGCCTAGTGGTCTCTATGCAGAGCTTGTGGGTTGCCTCATGTACCTGATAACTTGTACTCGCCCGGACCTCGCTTTCCCTCTCAGCATCCTTGCGCGCTTTGTTGCGCCAGGGAGACACCGTCCTGTTCACTAGACAGCAGCTATGAGGGTGGCGAAGTACCTAGCGACGACATCAGGCGTGGGGCTAGTTCTTGGAGGGCAGCAGTCTGTCGTACTTACTGGTCACTGTGACTCTTCTTACGCTGACGACGCTGAGACTCACAGGTCTACTCAGGGGTACTGTTTCAGCCTGGGTTCTGGAGCTGTTTCCTGGCGGTCCACGCGCTCCTCTTCGGTCTCGACCTCTACAGCTGAGGCTGAGATCTACGCTGGTGCCATGGCGGCACAAGAGCTGCGTTGGTTGACGTTCTTGCTCGCCGACCTTGGTGAGCGGCCGAGCTCTGCACCGACCTTGTTCACAACAGGGCTGACGATATCAGACTATTTTAGTCTGATTGTCTGAAATTTCAGACTATTTCCCTGACATTCCTGATTTTTCAGAGTCGGCTGATTTTGAAAAAGGAGTGCTTCAGACTAATGCTTTTTCCAATACTGAAAATTTCAGAGTACTTGCTTACCAGATAACGAGTTTCCATACTACAGAGTACAAACTCCCCTATGTAATTTCTGTACTTCGAGGAAAACCCACCCCTCGGGACATGGGCAAAAGTCTCGTTAATAGTAGAACCTGCCTTAGTTTTATGGTAGACTCTGAATTCTAAAATTTTCAGTGTTATACGCCTCTGGTTCCTGAGAAATCAGAGTTTCCATTTTTTGGAAGATGGGCCTTAGACTAAAAATTTTTGGGGGGCCAAAACAATCAGAGTGGTTATATTTGAAAAGTTAGCCCTGTTCACTAACAACAAGGCATCAATTCTCCTTTGTCGAGAGCCGCGACTGGAGAGCAGAGTGAAGCACATTAACGTCAGGTACTTTCTTCTGCGAGAGTTGCAGAGACGTGGACAGGCTCGCTTCGAGTTTGTGGAGTCTGAGGCCAACACTGCAGACATCTTCACCAAGGCGCTTCCGCCTTGTGACCACCAGAGGTGCTGTGTGCAGTTAGGCCTTGTTGACACTGGTTCTCGTCTTACTTAGTCTTGAGTTCACGGTTTACTTTGCTTATACACTTTCTTTATATCTCTGTTATTGCTTGGACTGGCCTTGTGTACTCAGAAGTGTTGTGCAATCGCTTCTGGGTGTGTCGCAAGCCTGTTTTTCAACCCAACCGGAAAGAACTTTGTGTGCAATAACTAGGTAACCTAGCTTCAACTGCTTTGCAGTTGAGGGCCTCTTAGCTTACGTGAGACCCTGGCTTAAGTCACTGTTTCCAACAACAAGTACCATATAAGCCTAGGAAGATATAGCAAGGGCACCTAGCTGGGAGAACGATGCCAACAGTTGGCAGCCAACTGCTTGCCAACAGAAGAAACAGCTTCATTTTTATGAAGTACCGTACCATACAAAAGAACTGCATTGACATGCAGGGCATCTCAATGAACTCACTCCACCTCACAAACAGTATTCAGAAATCAATCACCTAAGACAGCATGTCATGCTAAGGTACTATGGTACGCAGAGAAACATGGCTGCACTAACTAAATCCTACGCACGAAGAGGTATCTTGGCAGGTTAATTCTTGTAGGTACACTCAACTCCCTTCTCTAAACGAGCAACTCTCGGGATTTGATGGCTTGACAAGCCCTTCATGGATGTAGCTGATTTCCACGCAGTTCAGGCAGATGGGATTGAACTCCGCGTGATACATGCGGTACCCAAGATTCTCCAGTGCATACAGTGCAGGGAGAAGAAGTGCTGGCTTGTGCAGGCTGGGGGCACGGCAATGGGAGAGGAGAGATGGGAACGGTGATACAGAAATGATGTGACGGGCGAATTACTGACAGGAAACAATTGATAGGCTAGCTTTTGCAAAGTGAGGAGGGAAGTTCCGTGGGGATGACATCGGCACAGCTAACAGCCCAAATAACAAGAGACAATAGGAATGACGAGAGAGAGAGAGAGAGAGAGAGAGAGAGAGAGAGAGAGAGAGAGAGAGAGAGAGAGAGAGAGAGAGAGAGAGAGAGAGAGAGAGAGAGAGGAGAGAGAGAGAGAGAGAGGGAGGGAGGGGAGGGGGGAGGGAAGGGAGGGGGAGGAGAGGGAGTGGGGGAGGGGGGAGGGAAGGGAGTGGGGGAGGGAGGGGAGAGGGAGTGGGGGAGGGAGTGGGGGAGGGAGTGGGGGAGGGAGGGAGGGAGGGGGGAGGGAGGGAGGGAGGTGGGGAGGGACGGAGGGACGGAGGGAGGGACGGAGGGACGGAGGGACGGAGGGAGGGAGGGAGGGAGGGAGGGAGGGAGGGAGGGAGGGAGGGAGGGAGGGAGGGAGGGAGGGAGGGAGGGAGGGAGGGAGGGAGGGAGGGAGGGAGGGAGGGAGGGAGGGAGGGAGGGAGGGAGGGAGGGAGGGAGGGAGGGAGGGAGGGAGGGAGGGAGGGAGGGAGGGAGGGAGGGAGGGAGGGAGGGAGGGAGGGAGGGAGGGAGGGAGGGAGGGAGGGAGGGAGGGAGAGAGATGGAAAGAGAAAGAGAGGGAAACAGAGAGACAGAGAGGTGGGAGTTGACACAAAAGTCAGTACTTACTGGTGGAACTCCATGAGGATCTGCCCAAACGGCAGCGTGCCGCCGTGGATGGCGAGCTTGGCGGGTTGGGAGCCGTACGAGGCGGTCATGTCCTGGATGACCTGCAGCTCGCAGCCCTCGCAGTCGATCTTGAACACGTCCACGTACGTGTGGTTCATCAGCGCCAGCAGCCGCGCCAGCGTCACAAACAGCTTCGTGGGGTTCTTGCGCCGGTACATCTGCAGGTCCGCCTCGCCGGACAGCCCGATGGCGCGGAAGTGCAGGAAGGGCAGTGTGCGCATGGTCTCCTCCACTGCTGGCTTCAGAAAGGGGTCGAATGTGAAGATGGCGCTCTTGTGCGCCCTGGCGAACTGCTCCTCAAAGTCATACGAGCCCCGGCTGCCAATGCTGCACGCAGCGATGCACATGCAGAGACATGCAGGTAGTGTTAGCGGGGTGGGGTGTGAAGCAAGACGAGAGACTGGAAAGGAGGATGGCACAAGAGGGGAGAAGCAAGGGAGGTAGGGAAGGAGGCGGGTGGGTGAAGGGGAGGGAGGGAGGGATGGAGGGAGCGAGAGTAATTAGAGACGAAGAGAGAGCAGCCAGTGAGCAAACGCACAGGTGTTGACTGACGGGGCCGAGCAGACAAGGGCGGCAGCAGAGATGGAGCGATTGGCGGGGCAAGCAGTGAGGGAAGGGCAGCGCACCTGTAGACCGTGGTGTTGCGCTGGAAGATTCCCGGGATCATGCACGTCCACTGTCGCCATGCGCACGGCGCCACGACGCGATGGTGGAGGGAGGAAGGTGGCGATCCCGAATCGTAGGGTACGGAGGGAGGGAAGGAGGGAGAAAGGGCAAAGGAAAACGAGCGAGGGATGAGTGAAAAGATGGAAGACGGGCGCTGGTGACAGGTGTTCCTTCGAAGAGTCGAAATGCGTTGGGCAACATTGTGGATTCGCCGTATTAATGTGAAATGGGATGTGCCGACAAGCGTCTGGAGGAGCGCGCATTAGGCATGTGATAGTTCTCCTCCAACACCCCAACCTTGGAGTCGGTGCAATGGTTCTCACTGTAGGATGTGCTTGGTGCCGTACGGGGAGTGCAACATGAGATTCTAAAAATGCAATGGAGAAAACGCCAAGAAAAGGATTGTTTGTTACACGGCCTTCTCACCCTCGAACGAGACTCTAATCTAACGCCGCAGCTTCCCTTAGGAAGTCAGGCGGAAATGCGCGACATTGTTCGGAGTTCGTTCCACCGCCCAGGTTTCATCCATGCGGGTTTAGGGTAATCTTTTTGGAGGAACGCGTGAGCACTCGTGCGTCTCTGCACACCTCGAATGCATTCATTTCTTCATTCGTTCACGCCAGAAAACCAGAGGGCCTCGATTCCCTCCCTCGTACGCGCGACGAAGCCAACAAGAACAAGCCAGCATTCACGCTCTCACCTTGCCGCCGTCGCCCCAGTCCCCGAGACGCTCCTCGAAGGGGCAGGCGTACATGGGGTTGATAATGAAGAGCTTCGTGCCGCGCGTGCCCAGGTCCAACGGCTGCAGCACGCCCTTCAGCTTCACGCTCCGCCGTTGAACATTCTCCTGCCAACACCAGAAACGGATGCGACAAGAACCGCGTCAGACCGTTTCTAAAACCACCATCAATGCACCTCTTTTTGTCCGTCCCTCACACTATCCGCAAATGTGTATAGATGTTAAACAAATATTGCTACATATGTTCAAAGATCGTACGAGGTCCTCCTAATTCCGGGATGCTGCAACGTGAACTACCAATGATGGGCTTTCAAGAGACTGCATTTACCCAGTACGTGGCCTCCGAGTGGCACTGCGCCAAGTCCACGTGGCAGGTTCCGCGAGCATTTAACGCTGACCAATCGACTCCCCATGCGTGGCCTACATTGGCCCATTGCGGATCGGAACGGTGACGGGGGAATAGGAAGACCACGAAGATAAAGGCAATGATTGCGATGCTACAGAGACCACGAGCAGAAAGCACACGATGGCGCGACTCGACCATGGTGTCGAAGTAGTGGCGAAATGGTGAACCTAAGACCGCTGATTGTAATGGCTTATTGAAAGACCTGCTTGAACGGAATTCAGATGGAACAGATCAGTACATTTCTTGAGGAACACTAGCTTGAAACACCACTGATGGATTAAAAAGTCACTTGAGCGGGGTGACCGTGAGGGTGATGGAGATCTGAGCATTTGTAACCATGGCGGGGAGAGGACGCCCCGTGTTTTGCGTAGGCGCTTCGCTGTTGATTCGTTCGGGGCCGCAACCTAGGAAACCGTAGGTCCGGCAGAAGTTACCGTTTTGCGTCGTGTAGTTGGGCCCAAAAGATATAACAAATGTGACAATATTGAAGTACAGCAAATGAGAGAACTATGGCAAATATAGCAAGGAACCCTAGCTATCTGGGGACCTCGGAGGTCGAGGTTGGGTGGAGGTTTGGGAGTGCCAAGTCCAAAGGCGGGCAACCCCATAGTCTAGGTGTGGTGCATAACATAACCAAGATAAACAACAAATCATGAAATCTCAACTTGATTTATATTGCATATCTTATAACTGCCTACAGCTTGCTAGTGTACTAGTTTTGTTTAGGTACCAACTGTTGGAAGGTACCATTTATCAGGATCCCAGCTACTAGGCCACTGGGATAAAATTGCTTGTTTGTGTAGCGGGTCCGTGCCCCCATACCCCCCCCAGATGTACCCGCGTGTAACGCTCCTATGGTCATTCGGGGATCTCACTGTGCAGATCTACTGACACCCCACTAGATTGGGAGGCCCAAGAATGAGCACAGCGGCAACCGTCTGCATGTGCATACACAAGGATTCGAACCCGAGGCCGCTCTGATACCATGTCAGAATCTCAGTCATTAGACAACTGGGAAAAAACGGCTTGTTCATGTAGCGGGTCCCAGACGTACCCGCCCGTAACCCTCCTAGGATCATTCGAGGATCTCACTGTGCAAATCTACTGACACCCTTTGCCTTTTTTCCTTTTCCCATATACTTCCACCTCTTTACTGAAAGCCCTTTTTTTGTCAAACCCTCTCGATACCATCTTCTAGCTCCAGCTCCCATCTCACAAGCTGCTATTCTGACATGGTATCAGAATAAAGGTCTCGGGTGTCAAATTATATAGGGATTATACATTTGTAGGCTGTAGTGGGTTAGCACTAGGAGGTACAGTATTTTTCTCGACATTCTTCTTGTACCCCTCCTTCACCCAATCCCATCATTCCCGTAATCTCCTTTCACAAGGTATAGAGCAGGTCCTTCCTAAGGACCGTTGCTTTTTAAGGGCCCACCACAAGCACTTTTTTTTAGCTGCCCGGAGCGCCTTTGCGCCCTGCCCGTAAAATTTTGGCCCCTTGGTGGCCTTACCCCGCCCCTTCGCGGCCCCTTAAACGGCCCCTCGCGGCCCCTTAAACGGCCCCTTCACGGCCCCTTACACGGCCCCTCGCGGCCCTCCCTCTCACGCCCCCTTCGCGGCCCCCTGTCGCGACCTCGTCGCTGCCCCCTTCACGGTTCGTCGCGGCCCCTTCGCGGCCCGTCACGGCCCCTTCGCGGCCCGTCACGGCCCCTTCGCGGCCCTTTGCGGCCCCTTCCCAGCCCGTCGCGGCCCTTCGCGGCCCCTCGCGGCCTTCTTCGCGGCTCTGCACGGCCCCCTCCACGGCCCCTTCGCAGCCTCACGCGGCCCTCTCTCGGCCCCTCGCCGCCCTTTCCCGGTCCTTCGCGGCCCCTTTGCGGCCCCCCCCCTTCGCGGCCTCCTCACGGCCCTTCGCGGCCCCCCCCTGGCCCCTGGAACAGCAGCCCCTGCAGCTACCGTCCCTGGTCCCTGGAGCAACCGCCCCTGCAGCAGCCGCCCCTGGTCCCTGGAGCAGCCGCCCCTGCAGCTGCCGCCCCTGGCTATTGGAGCAGCCGCCCCTGCAGCAGCCGCCCCTGGCCCCTGGAGCAGCTGCCCCTGCAGCAGCCGCCCCTGGTCAATGGAGCAGCCGCCCCTGCAGCAGCTACCCCTGCCCCTGGCCCCTGGGGCAGCTGCCCCTGCAGCAGCCGCCCCTGGCCCCTGCAGCAGCCGCCCCTGGAGCAGCCGCCCCTGCAGCAGCCGCCCCTGGCCCCTGGAGCAGCCGCCCCTGCAGCAGCCGCCCCTGGCCCCTGGAGCAGCCGCCCCTGCAGCAGCCGCCCCTGCCCCTGGCCCCTGGGGCAGCTGCCCCTGCAGCAGCCGCCCCTGGCCCCTGCAGCAGCCGCCCCTGGAGCAGCCGCCCCTGCAGCAGCCGCCCCTGGCCCCTGGAGCAGCCGCCCCTGGCCCCTGGAGCAGCCGCCCCTGCAGCAGCCGCCCCTGCCCCTGGCCCCTGGGGCAGCTGCCCCTGCAGCAGCCGCCCCTGGCCCCTGCAGCAGCCGCCCCTGGAGCAGCCGCCCCTGCAGCAGCCGCCCCTGGCCCCTGGAGCAGCCGCCCCTGGAGCAGCCGCCCCTGGAGCAGCCGCCCCTGGAGCCCTCGCCCTGCAGTGGTGCCGGCCTCGCCGTTGCCGCCGTTGTACGCCGGCCCTTCTTGCCACTGGTGAGCACTGTCCTGCCCGTACTGCTGTTACTGCTGCTCCTGCTGCTACTGCTCTTTCTCCTGCTACTGCTGCTCGTGCTGCTCCTACGGCTACTGCGCTTTCTACTGCTACTGCTGCTCCTGGCGTGGCCAGATGCAGCTCCAGCACCGTCCTCGTGAGTCCCTCACGCCCCCACAGCTTCATGAGTGGTACGCTCGTTGGGGTTGTCGGGGTGGCCGTAGTGGGAGTCGTCCTGGAGTGAGTAGTTCCGGAGCTTCTTGTAGTGGCCAGGTGCAGCTGCAGCGTCGTGTGCGCGTGGCCCCTTCGCCCCCGCAACTTCTTGAGTGGTACGCTCAGCGTGGAGGGTCACGGGGTTCTGCTCGCTGCCCGTACGTCATTCGCACTGGTGCTAGGACTGGCCAGCCTTGCGGGACGTTTGGTCACACAGAGTCCCGCTGCTTCGCCAGTCTGAGCGACGCCTGGCGTACAGAGTTTGGCGACGCGGCTGAGCTCCCCGACTGGGTGGAGCTAAAACGGCAGAGGGTAGATGTCTATGCTCTTGACTATGATGCTATCCTCACTGCCATGTATGCATTGCCTACTAGTGATGATGGTGACTGTTCCCTGAGTGTTCCGCCCGACCCGGGCGGTGCAGCTGCTGCTCTAGGTGCCAGTGAGTCTGCTGCTCCAGGTGCTAGTGAGTCTGCTGCCCCAGGTGCTGGTGAGTCTGCTCTCTCAGGTACCACGTCTGCTCAGGCGTCGCACACTTTCACCCTTGACTCGGGTGCTTCCCGCTCCTTCTTTCGAGACCGCACCACTCTCACGCCGCTCAGTCGGCCGGTTGCGGTCTCCCTGGCAGACCCCTCTGGGGGTCCTGTTCTTGCCCACTACTCCACTGTACTACCGTGTCCAGCGGTCCCGTCTGGCTCCCTGTCGGGTCTTTACCTCCCCTCGTTCTCTACGAACTTGGTGGCAGGTGCTGACCTACAGGATGGGGGGGTTGACCAGTTCACCCCTGCGCGTCAGCGGGTGACCCACTGCACGTGTGCAGACACGGGCCGACACTTGGCCACGTTTACCCGTCGGCCGGGGTCGAGCTTGTACACCCTGACTACCGAGTCTCCTCCGGTTGCTGTGCCTGGTCAGGTAGCTGCGTCGGGTCAGGTGTTTGCTGCAGCGTCTCGGTCTGGTCCTGAGTCTGCCCCCTGCTCGTGTCGCCTCCTGTCCCACGAGACTCTTCTCTGGCACCACCGTCTTGGTCACCCCTCCCTGCCTCGTCTCCGAGGCATGGCCTCTCGTGTCCTGGTCTCTGGTCTCCCCCGGTCTCTCCCTCCCCTCCCTCCAAGGCCTAACCCTACCTGCGTTCCCTACATCGAGGGGCGGCAGCGCGCCGCTCCTCACTCCTCCGAGTTTCCGCCGACAGAGGCTCCGCTGCAGACTCTTCACATGGACGTGTGGGGCCCAGCCCCCGTCCGTGGACAGGGTCACGAGCGCTACTTCCTGCTGGTGGTTGACGACTACTCGCGTTACACCACAGTCTTCCCCTTGCGCCGCAAGGATGAGGTCACTGAGGTGTTGATCGACTGGATCCGCGCTGCTCGTCTCCAGCTCAGGAAGAGTTTCGGCTCGGACTTTCCTGTTCTGCGTCTGCACTCCGACAGAGGTGGAGAGTTTTCCTCCGGCCCTCTGCTAGCCTTGTGTCGTGCGAGGGGCATCCGCCAGACGTTCACGCTTCTTACGTCTCCACAGCAAAATGGGATTGCTGAGCACCGCATTGGCATGGTCATGGATGTCGCTCGTACGTCCATGATCCATGCGGCTGCTCCCCATTTTCTGTGGCCGTTTGCGGTTTAGTACGCAGCGCGTCAGATCAACCTCCAGCCCCGGGTCTCCATGCCGGGGACCTCCCCCACTCTGCTGTGGACGGGGAAGGTTGGCGATGCGTCTGCGTTCCGTGTCTGGGGATCTCGAGCTTTTGTCCGAGACTTGTCTGCGGACAAGCTGTCCTCCCGTGCTGTTCCCTGCGTCTTCCTTGGCTTCCCTCCTGACGCGCCTGGTTGGCAGTTTTACCACGCCACCTCGCGCCGTGTACTGTCCTCCCAGGACGTCACGCTTGACGAGTCGGTTCCGTACTACCGTCTCTTCCCCTACCGCGCTGCCCCCCTCCCCCTCCCGCCGCTTTTCCTTGCGCCAGGTCACCCCCCGGTAGACCCCCTCCCCCTCAGGGTCCTGCTCCTTCAGGTGTGTCTCAGGTAGACCCCCCCCCCTTGGCTGAGCCTTTGGAGGTCACTTCCGACACCTCTGGCCCACCTGAGGGGGGTGACGTTGCTGCTGACCCCCTCGCGGCCTACCGCCGCGCACCACGCTTGGAGACCCCTCCGGGGTTCCCTCCGCGACCTTCTTCACCGCCTCTGCAGCCGGTTACTGTTGACTCTGGTGCTGCTGGGGGTGGTGCTCCTAGGGGTGCAGA